AAAGAAGTTGCCTTGCGTTTTCAGTGGACTTCGAACCTTCGCGTGTTCATGTTTGCCTTGTTGTTGAACTCTGCGCCGGTACATCAGACAGCACAGTTTGTAACATCGGTTTCCTCCTGTCGTGAAGTAGCATCAATTGGTTTGACCTGGTCTGGAAATCGAGTTGCTTCTTGCCTGCCTTTTCACGGTTCTCCTTCAACCAAGCGATTCTTCTTTAACTCCATGATCTCATGCGATTTCATAACACTTTGCTACTTGTGGTCTGCACACTGTATCTCTCCCACACTCATGGCTGTGCGGCAGACAGCTTGCAAACTGCCAGGGATGTCTGCGACGCTACCTCTCTTTCAAAACATAGCGGTCGCTCTTGCACGGTAGCGGAGCTACAGCTCCTAGGCCCGCTACCTGCGCAACATACTCCCACAGCACTTCTACCTCCTCTACACCACCACAACCTCAAGGTCCCCTTCACCAGAACTTCCTGCTCTTCAGGTGTGCGACCGTCCTACTGGTGGACCTCCTCAAGAATGAGAACGCTGGATCGTCCACAAGACTCAGTTGATCCGATGCGCCCCCCGCCATGTATGTCCAGAGATGAGCTGTAGGCAGGACGACGCGATTCTGGACGACTTGCAGTCGGCATCACACGTCCTCCGCAATCTCAAGAGCAGAGGAGTTACACGTTTCCTGGATCTAAGCCGGGCCAACAAGCGAAACATTGATGACGTTGAGAGTGATGAACAAGAAGGTGATGATGGCGACTCTGACGCTGAAGAAATGGCCAAAAGAAGGAGAACAGGCGTTGGATCACTGGCAGAAGACAATGACTACGACATGTCAGGCTTCATCCAGCACCTCATCCTCCGGACAAGTTCCGGGTGTGGTAGTGGGTCTTCCGATTGCTCCAACCGCAGAAGAAGTGGGGGCGACCAATCGGCAGCCAAACGAGGACCTGCCACCAGCGCCAGAAAGTGAAGCCGGTTCAGCTGAATCGGAACGTGCACAAGGCCATCAACTGTCTACAGGAGTTCTCATTCCTCAAGAGGAAATACACCTTGACTGCAGAGGGGCTTGCTGTGAGGCCAGGAGGCTATGCCGCCAACGTGGTGAAAACTTTCGAGGATCAGTTTGGCCCTGTGCAGAAGCAGAGATTGCCTGCCACAGCGGACATGCAAGATTTGGGTGGATCAAGCACAGTGTCATCGCAAGAAGCCGAAGCTTCAGTATACCGATCAGTGGTGGGCATGGGCATATACCTGGCGCAGGAGAGATGCGATATTGCCTTCACCTTCAAAGAGCTGGCATCGAAGATGGCTGGACCTACAGAGATCTCCATCCAGAAGATGCGCAAGCTATTGGGTTACTTGAAGGATACAGAGCAGCAATCAGTGATGCTTCCAAAACTTCATCGAGGAAGTGGACTGAACACCAAGAGCAGATTCCCAGGCGCGCACTGAAGCAGATTGGAGCGGCGATCGGGCTACCAGGAAAAGCGCCTCATCAGCTGCACATGCAGTGAATGGCATCGTGGCGCACAGAGGCGCATCAGTGGCAAACTTTTGTGGTGCCAGGACAAAGTCGCCAGCGGAGAGTTGGAAGTTTGCCAAATTGGGACTGTCAAGAACCTGGCTGACACCAAACCGCTCTCGAAAAGCAGGCTGAAGCTTCTTTTGTATTTGCCTCAAGCACGAGATGGAGATTGCGAACGCGTTGGACTACGAGAAACAACATGTTGAGAAGGGCAAAGTGATGTGCGTTGCCAAGTTTCTGAACAGGCTGGTCTTCATCAGCGGTCTTGAGTTGGCTACTGGTGCCAAGGGTGGAACCAGACCTCACAGGAAGTTTCAACTATTTGATCAGAAGCTCTTCTACCTGGCAGGTTGCGTTCACGGCGGTAATCTTCCTATTTACTGAATTACAAGGAAGTTCAAAAAGATGGATGGGCGGATCACAAAGAATGAGCTGGAGGTTCAGAGTCACAACAACATCAATGCCTTTGAGGAGCAAGAGAGGACGCAGCCTACGCAGATGGACTACACACAGGGGATTCACCGAGCCTTGGCATATCGATGACTCTGTGGAAGAGTGTTCCAGAGATGATCTCGAATGGGACACCTTGAAGTACATCGAGAAGACCAACAGACGACGTGAAGGACACACCTGAAGGTGCAGTGGGACATCGTAAATCAAAGGAGGCGAGAACAGGGAGATGAAAGAATTCCCAATCGATTTTCGATCGATGATCCTGGACCGCTTGCAGATGATGGAGCAATGATCCTATGACAGTGCAATTGGACAGTTGTTGGTACTTGCTTGCCATAGTGACCACCCTCATCGTGATCATTGGAGTGGTCACCGGGTACATGTATAGTATCTACTCCGAACGACTCCTGTTACAAGCTCAGCCTGCGCAACAGCACCAGGCAGAGATTGAGGTTTGGACGCAAAAAATGCTCGGAAGCTCCAGGACATCATCAATCTAAAGCTGGCGCACGTGGAAAAGAAGAACAAATTGAATGAACACCTGGAGGATTGCGCTGTGGAGCTACAAGCTGCCAACAGCACCTGCACTGAATATGTACAAGCTAAGGCTTTGGTCAGCAGGGCACTAGAAGAGATCGAGCACCACCTACAAGATTGCCCACTCGGTCATCAGACCGGCGTTTTCCTTCCTCCTCGAGGTTCAGTATGACACAATCAACATGATTGCCATGGGCTGGTCAACGCCCGATCCGTGGACCTCAAGCAGCCATGTCGATGGTGCGCTCAAGCACCACCACCGTTCCAAGAGAACAACCGACTGAGTGGCACCACTCTCCTGCAGGACTCGTGGGATATCCAAACAGCTCATGGCCGAACGAGCTATGAGAGCATGTCCACAGGCTGACTCCTTTCCCCTGTGCTGATTTCACAGGTTGCATCAGGTCACATTGGCATGTATGCTGATGCTTGTTTCCGCGGTTCCTCTTCAAACCGCACTCCCCTTTCACTCGGCCGCTTAGGTGGGCGCTTGCGACCTAGCTGATGGCACGCTCGAAAAGGTCTTCGTGAACCTTGACTTTGGGTAGGGAACTTCATTTGTCCCCACTTGGCTTGCTGTGTCGCTCCTACACCACTTTGAAAGCTACAGTTACTGTTACCGGCAGAAAGATTCGCAGAAGAAACACAGCGCACAGACTTTAACCTATTTGATACATTATGGCCATGATACACTTTGTTTCTTTCGCGGCACCCTTCCACGAAATCTAATCAAATCACTTCGTCACGGCGATCACAGGACTAGGCTCTCCTGGGCCAGAGATACTGACTTGTGATGTAGGATCCAGCGTTCTAGCCTGGCAGCAGGGCGCCCGGCTTTCAGAAGTGGATGGATGAGCTAAGCCCCAAAATCTAGGAACCATGTCCAACTTCCGTTGGTTGTTCAAAGGTCCTTCTCCCACCCTCCATGTAGTAGCTTCAGGATGCTTCAGGTAGTGGCTTCCTTCCTACTTGCTTACTACTTACTACCCGCCTACCCACATGTGGTCTTCCCAAGCTTGCTCTCCCCTGCTCCAGCACCTCCTCCCCCACTCCCTCCGACAACCCACATCCAAGTGCATGGTCTGCAAATGCTGGCTCCCCATATCAGAATATATAACGGGAACCAAAGAATCAAAATGCCCTTGGGAAAAAGCACAACACATTCACGCATTGTCACATTGTGTTTACATATCCTGGCCAGCTCGACGAAGAGTGAAGCAACCTGAGGCTCCTACGTGCGACGCTGTGTTTCGGTCAGGTTGCCAAGCATTGATCGTCGGGCTGTAGGAGACAAGCGTTGCAAGAGCTTAAAGCTCTCCTTGAAGTGCAACAGATTTGAGGGAGCAGAGAAAGAAAACCAACCACTTTGTTCCAAGTTGATCATTTGTTTCTCAAATTGAGATGCTGTATCAGCTTGTGCCGGCAAGCCCACAGCTCTCCTTACACCACACCCTTCTTGTCTTTGTGTTCAGATCACAAATTAAGATCTGTGGGTCCTCCAACTCCAACGGATGAGAATCTCACATGTGGTACAAACTTAGCACAAAGCGACAAAGCAAAATTCCAATTCTCCCAATTCCCATAGGTCGAGGAAGGCCTGGGAATCGGAGACAGAGAACGATCATTCACATGTCTCCTCAAGTGTCCCAACGTCTTGCACGGAGCACATTCTGACACACCTGAGTCAAAGTCTTTGAGCACACCACCTAAAGGTGCATGAGTCCTTTCCCATCTCTGTGTTTGCTTTCAACATCGCCGCAATACAACTTGCTTGTCATGTCACAGTTGCAAAACACAACCACCAATTTCTACGGTGCTCATTTAATGATGTACATGTACAGCATCCACTGACCATGTTGCCAAGGTGCTAGGCGAACTATCGACCACAACCACCACCAATACCACCTGAGCTACCTTCCACACAAAACAATAGCTTTCACATGATTCACGTACAAGCTTGCCATGCCTGTACCGCGACCGTAGACCTGACAGGTTCAAGTTGGGAAGACTCGACGCGATACAACCAAGGTCGCCGGTGTGTTTTGGCATGTTCCCACCTCGCAGTGGTGGCGAACATCGGAGATGATCGGAAGGTGGAAGAACATGATGACGGACCTTGTGGACTCAAAAAGGATAAATTATCTATCTGGGGAGCATCAGAAAAAGGAAAGAAACGTAGTGTTGAAAAGTGGAGAATCATGAGAATCTGAGGGAGGGGCTTCACACTGCTGTTCATGATGACACCTTCAGCAAACTTCAAATCCGCACATATAAAAACGACGTGAACCTGAAAGACTGTGGCAATCCAAATGCGCCAAGCTGCAAGGAAGTAACGCGCTCAAAGCGCAAGAGAATGGCAGGCTTGAAGAGCTTGAACCAACAAACAAACACATTTGAGATCATCACTGGTGCACAGCAATCAAATCCGCACACTCGTGTCAACATGCACAACATTCGAAAAAAACACTGCAAACGCCGACCTTGTCTAGCTGAACAGGCCCATCCTCCAATGTCCGAATTCAAATCATTGAGTTGACTTGCCAGAATATCTCCTGCCTGGTTTTCAACAGCACTCACCAAGCTCTTCGTATTGCAGCATCTTAGGGCTGGCCTGCTGGCATAGCAAGAGGCATCTCGCCTAGGACTCTTTTGCTGACAAGGCACTTTGTTTTGAGCAGCCACCTAAGTAGTAAAACACTTTTCAGCACAAATTGTATTCTTCAGTCAATGCGAACGAGACACTGAATACTGATAAATCCGTCTTCATCTGCCTTGCTTTGCACGTCCTGGATACACATTCACAGATCGGTTAATGTTGACAGGGTGGTGTTGTGGTGGAGGAGGGTTGCCATGCTGGGCTGCCAACCAGGCCCACCAGGATCGCGGAAATTGGGTTCGGGTTGATACTAAACCAACAGAACACTGAACACATGTAGCAACAGAAAGCTAAGCTCTAGCAAATTAACGCCGCAAGTCATCAGTCGTCATCAGTCGTCATCAGTTCAAAGGCATCACTATCAGCATCAAAGCGCCTGCTCCTGCAAAACCTTGGTCAAGAGCTCGATTGGTGTATCCATTCCTCGGATGTTGATGGACCAGCCCAAGCTGCAATCTTTAATAAAACTCCACACCTGCACAAAGACCTGGAGGTGGCTCCACCTAGACAAACTTGTGATTGAGATCTCGCTTACACAAAGTATGCCACATTATACTTTCTTGCATTTGGAGTCTGAGACAGAAAATGACATACTTCAGAATCCCTTGCAACTGTGGACACTCAGAAGGATCTCGGGGTCTTGCTCAATAATGGTTTCAAATGACATGGTAGGAAATTCAAAAAGCCAGCAGCAACTCAAGCATTCAACCAGGGGCCCCACATCCAAGGACATTTTGGCAGACTCGCCTCATGTGACTCATGTATTTACCCTGTACGTTCCAAGCCGCAAAAAGTTCGGACACTTCAATCCTTGAATCTCCTGCCTCGACCTTCAGCAACCCCAGGCCTGGTTTTCATAGGCCGATCGGTTTGCGGCACATGCAATCAGCGTTTTGCAGGATTCGTTGGCAAAAATGATTCTGAGCAATGTTTGCAGCAATAAGCCAATAAGCTGTCGAGGGCTTAATGCTGTTTGCTTCGCATTTTGTGCTCGCAGCGAGCATGTGCATCTTATACGTGCCACAAGCAAAATATGCTCTCGAAGTGGATTGCTACTCCCACTTCTCACAGCTCAATGGGCAAACTACTGCTCGTCACCCCAGGTGCTGCAATATGCAGCTGGGAAGAGCATCAGTTGTTGATCACTTTGAGGATGGCCACTGTGGCATCTGTCTTCCAGCTTCTTCAACTCATGCTTGGCTCAAATGTCAGCATCTTTTCCGATAATCATCATCATGTCCCTGCCAAGCACAAAATCTCAAGCGAATTGGGTCTCTTTGATTTCTCTAAATGTTTCCTGCGCGGTTCCTGATGCCTTTCCATCAAATATTTAAGAGATATTGACATTGCAGATTTGAACCAAACAATGCTGGTACAGTGTGTATCCAGCCTAAACGGTCCTAAGAAGCTGACATGTCACATGTCCCTAAGGAAAGAATGCACTGTATGCACACAAAAAGCAGTCGGGCGTATGGCGCCAGAAGTAAAGACATCACAGAACAGCATACCCGCCACCAGCGGAATCGTTGCAAATCCGGCTTACTAGGTCAAGTGCATCTTGGCGTGGCAGGAATTGAATTAAGTGCTTGCTGTTATGGTTTTGTGTTCTTTGACTTCGTGCCTGTGACGCCCCAAGATAAATTTTTGGCTTTGGGGGTGCTCGTGCGAACACCTCTAGCCTTTGGAGCAGACATGTATATACATTGTGGGGGCTCTTTGTTGTCAACAATGAACAACAATGAACGACGATAGCACCCCCCTGGTATCTCTAATGCATATCATTCTTGTCATCGGCAACAACAGCTTCTACCTGAACCCCTCACATAGACAGTCTACGCCCCCCGGTGATGTTGCGAAGCACATCCTTTCTGTGATTCAACCTGTTCACTGAAAACATTCGGTCTTCCTTGTAATCAAGGAACAATATCACCACCTCGCCACCTCCCTCTCCACCCAGTTTTCATGTCTGTCTGTAAGTGATTATATACATCAGCTTCGAGCGATTGAAAGGACAGTCACACAAAAGACATGTGACACGTGGAAATCGCACTGTCCAAATATATACCTACTACAATCTAAACGGCTTGTTGCAAAAGGAAAATAGGGAAACTGTCCTTGCTATAGGCTCCAAATTGCGCGGGAATTTCATTATAGTGTTTGCTTGCGAGCTAAAGACCACAAAAACAAGCTGGAAGACAAGTGGTCAGAGAAAATCGGTGGACCGTCCGTGACACCTTGTGCCGAAGATGGGAAATGCTTTGGCAAAACCACACCACCCGCCATCTACTAGCAAGGGAGGGCATGCTATGTGTTTTCCCATTTTTCTGCCACTCATGATTCCAAGAAGCGCTGAACGAAGTACAGATTGAGGCAACCATTTCCTATGTGTCCCACGTCCCTCTGAGGTCTTACCAACATCAGAGTGTCGTGCAGCATGTTTGTCGACAAACCGCTTTGCCAGCTTCCTCAACGCTCCACCAATACTGCGCAGCGCATGTTGCCTTTGAAACTTTGAATCTACATAGATTGGACTCTGGACAATTCGGGGACGCAGTTCTGCAAGGACACTTTTGTTTTAGCTTTTGCTGTGCTTTTCTCTGCGTGAATCTTTCTACTGGTGACAAACCTTTTTGCAAGCACTGAGTGATCCTGAATTGTTGGGACTATACCGAATTCTTCTCAGACTGAGGTCAGTTTTTGTTGTGAGAAGTGTCCAAAGAGAGAACACATGTTGGCTTCTTCGGAGTTGTTTGCCAAATACTCGTACTTGTAATCAGAGATCCCAACCACAAATTGGACTTGGATGTTGAATCCTCCTCTTCGATCACTATGGATGTGTTCGTCCTGAGTAGGTTAGCTTTCCACATCAAATCCCTGCTCCAACTTCAACCTCCCCAACTTCAAGCCTTCATCGGCTTATTGGCCAATTGCTTGCGCAGAGATTCCGACTTACAAGTATGCCTCATTTGCCAGACACACCCATGTAATTCATAACGTGCAACACTGCAACCATTCTCCAAGTCCAAAAGCCTCGGCAGAGTCAGGCCTTTTGTCGAAATAGCTGTAATGACAGTCGGACAGCCAACTCTGCAGCGCTAGGCTGTGCCCAACATTTAAGTGGTCTAGTGCAACCTCAAAATGGCCCTTTAGAGACCCACCTTGAATTTGCAAGTAACACCCCTCCGCCTTTCTTCCTCAGATAGCTGGAAGCTAGTGGTTCTTGCTTCTCGCGGTTGCTTCTCTCCAACTACTGTAAGTGGTGGAAGGCAATTTGAGCTTGTCTCCTAGCTTATTCTCCAGTATGTTTAAAGCAAGAACAAACTCAGCTAGCTGACACAGCTTTCGTGACTTGCACCACCGAGGAAATTGTCAAATCAATTCTCAAAGGCGGTGTTTGTTTGTTTTTTTTTGAAGTTGAAGCTATTCTTTGCAACCGTGACCTGGACAAAACCTGCAAACAAAACAAGGTGCTTGCCAAACTAACGGACAAGCAACTGCAAAAACTCTTTTGAAGGGCGGCTATCAAGTGCTAATAGCAAGGTCAAAGCAAGCATCATGCTTTTACTTCGGGGTTCCAGTAAGTGCGGGATTGTCCGTCACTGATAAATAATGATTTGATTACGCATGCAGGGATGATATTGCTGGCGTTGGTGTCCACCCAACTCCCACAGCCAATACACTGCAAGTGTCTTCCGCCTACACCGAGGATTGCTTGAGAGAGAGAGGGGTAGAGCGAGACGCACGTGCGTTTCATGCTTAGAGCTTGCAATCCTTTGAAAATTGCGACTAAAAGTACGCTATTAGGAGCAAAGGGCATCGCTACTAGGAGCAAGGACGATACTAGGGGCTCCTGGCCTTACTACTAGGAACAAGAAGCTACTAGGAGCAATCTCTTCAAGTAAGCTCAACGGTGCCTGTAGTCCAGCTGCTCCACCGGGTGGGAAGCATCACATAACTCCAAGTTCAAGCGCATTGCTAAGACCAGGTCTTCAAGGGCCTGATGGCATGAGATCAATAGCCAAGACCTGTACAAGGAAAAGTCTGTGCAAGAATCTTCTGATTTGGGAAGCGGCGATTGGACGGTAGCGTCCAGGCATAAATCTGGGCTGAATCCAAGCAGCGAACAAACATGCTTTGCGCAAAATGAATCCTTACTGTAAAATTTGTCGTGCACATCCTCCAATTCAAAACAAGCAACTGCGATGCAACTGGCACCATTTGCCATGTTGCATTTGCCTCAAAGCCGTGCCAAAACCCCGAAGACCCAAGAATGTCCACCAAAGTCAAAAATGATCGGTAGTAACAACAAGCTACTAGGAACAAGTGCATCGCTTCTAGTAACAAGTGCCTTACTAGTAGTAACAAGGACGCTACTAGTAACAAGAAGCTACTAGTAACAAGTGTCCAATTTGTTCTAAGCTGAAAGTCCACGGCCAAGGAACGAAGAAGGAGCTCGATGAGCTCAACAAATGACCATCTGCACCTGTTAAAACAAGACCAACAAACAGCACCTGACATCATCTATTGGCCACTCTCTTGCGGAGTTGAGCCGTTTCAATAAACATGTTGAAACATTTTTGGGCTGTGCTTTCACAAGAAATCTGTGCCAATGAAATCTACCGGCTGCATTGAACATCATCACTGGCCTACCACTGCTGATGGTTTGAAGATTGACGTCCGTCTAAATGTCATTGAAGATACTGCCTCTCAAGAACGGGGTGCGCAAGGTGTCCAAAGAGCAACTCAACTTGCACCTGATATGAGACCTTTGCAGTTTTACACAGTTACACAATAGTTGAGGTTGAGTTTGGGCTGAGCAAGGCAAGCCCTGACAAAAGACTGATGCTGAAAAACTTGTGGACCAGAGGGGGGTGGCGAAAGCTAGGCAAAGAAACAACGCTGGGGCTCTTTAGGCAGCAAAAGCCTGGCCGGGAATCGCAACATGCCATGGCCAAGGGAAAAGGAGAGTGCCAACAGCGCCCCCCCAATACGACCCCAACACAGCCAACACATGGCAACACACAACCACCCCAGCAACCGCAGCAGCAGCAGCAGCAACAGCCACAACAACAATAACTTCAACCAGCAGCGGCAGCGGCAGCAAGCAGAAGCTACCAAGCAGCAGCAGAAGCAGCAGCACGATCAGCTAGCAGCTAGCAAGCAGCAGCAGCAGCTACCAAGCAGCAGCAGCAGCAGCAGCTGCAGCTACCAAGCAGCAGCAGCAGCAGCAGCTACCAAGCAGCAGCAGCAGCAGCTACCAAGCAGCAGCAGCTACCAAGCAGCAGCAGCAGCAGCAGCCAAGCAGCAGCAGCAGCAGCAGCAGCAGCAGCCAAGCAGCAGCAGCAGCAGCAGCCAAGCAGCAGCAGCAGCAGCAACAGTTACCAAACAGCAGCAGCAGCTACCAAGCAGCAGCAGCAGCTACCAAGCAACAGCAGCATCAGCTACCAAGCAGAAGCAGCAGCAGCAGCAGCAGTAGCAGCAGCAGCAGCTACCCAGCAGCAGCTACCAAGCAGCAGCAGCAGCCACCAAGCAGCAGCAGCATCAGCAGCAGCTACCAGGCCGCAGCAGCAGCAGCAGCAGCAGGAGCAGGAGCAGCTACCAACAAGCAGCAGCAGCTACCAAGCAGCAGCAGCAGCAGCTACTAAGCAGCAGCAGCAGCAGCAGCTACCAAGCAGCAGCAGCAGCAGCAGCACCAGCACCAGCAGCACCAGCACCAGCACCAGCTACCAAGCAGCAGCAGCAGCAGCAGCAAAGAGTGAGCTTTCCTTAGAGTCTTTCGTGCCCCAACATTTGGTCTCGAACAATAGCAGAGTAATTGTAGAAGGGCGACGTGGAAATATCTGTTTT